GACCAGAGTCAGACACTGGAATGAGGAAGTAAAAACTGAAAAGCCAGAGCAACTAGTCTCTTCTTATTTCCTTTTAGATACCAAGTTATAGCAACAGGGAGACCTAAAGGAGCTACCTGCTTCTGCTTTTCTCTTTGAGATGTTAACAAGCCCTGGGCTCCTTGGATGGGTAAAAAATACATTGTCTGACAGAGGGAAGTCCTAAAGCACACCTATTGTCTCTGTTTTAGGTGGGCCAGGATGTCCACTCCCTGTTTTAATAGCCAGCTCTCCAGTATAATACTAAGAAATAGTGGACACCATTTTGAATTGCTATTCCCATTTCCTACACGTGGGCAGGAAATATTTCTCTCTCTCTCTCTTTTTTTTCATTTCCCCCCACTTTTATCCTGTTATATTAAACTTGTTCCCTAATAAACTTTACTATTATTTTTATTAGTCTTTTTCCTTTATTGTTTTGCTGGGTGGGGGTATATTGTGGCATTTACACATTATTACAAGGTTGTTACATGTATCAAATACATCATATTTGAATTCACCCCCTCCACTACTCTTCTTCATCCCCTTACTATTATTTTTACTACATCTTTTTCAGCTTTCTTGAATTCTTTTCCTGCCAGATGTAAGAATTGAGGAATTTATTAGTACTATTTTTCTGGTAACATAATGACAAAAAATATATAAAGAAAGCCTACCAATCAATAGCAACAAAAATTCTGTTATAACAAAGGGCCAAAAATTTCACAAAAGTGGAAAAATAAAAGGTCAATAAACATATAAAAAGATGGTCCAAGTGTTGCCAGTGCTTAAAGACTGGGAAGATCTTAGAGACTGAAGAGCAGATTGAGACCTCTACCTACAGTTGCCAGGTACTTATCGCTGTTAGAGAAAGAATTCAGAAATGAGACAAAGGAATTGGGAGGGCATTTTTTTTTCTGGGTGAAAGTATACACTCAAGGGTTGAGTGTGGTAGGGTTTTATAGGCAAACTGTAACATAGGGAGATTATTCATGAGTTAGGGTAGGAAAAAAGTGAGGAGTTCCAGGAATGGAACAAGGTTTATTTGCCTTTTGCATCATTATATGGAGTTTTTAGATGTGTAATCATGTCAATTAGCCAATTTTGCCAGGCTAATGGTATGGAGAGGCCAAGGACAGCTAGTAGTCATCTCAGTCCACCATGTGGTCCCCAATTGGTTTTGGGTGGTCTTGTGTTTTTACTGTTTGAGTGGTTACGTGATGCCCTGCTGTAATACAGCTCTGCAATTGCATCAGGCTCTAGCCACAATGAAATTTGCCTCTTTTTTCCCCTTTATCTATGTAGCCTACTGCAAAAGGTGTGAATAATCAGGGAAATGTAAGGTAAAACCACAGTCTTTACACTTACTGGAGGCATTCCCTCCAAACATGGTATCTTGCTTGCCATTGGTGCTAGAGACATTGTAAAACTTAGCCACTCCTAGTGCTTAGGATGACATAAATGACTAAGATTCCACCAAACCCCAAACCTCATGTAAATCGAAAAAGCCTCTTACAGAGATTAAAATAGGAAATAAGACATTTCCAAGCAATGGTCTAAATTGCATATTAAGGCAGATGACAGTGACCATGCAGTTGAGGACATGGAGTTCATTGCTTTGTTGAGTTTCACTTGAGATTAAGGAGCAGGTGACAGATCCTCAAGACAGCCCTGCAGTGTGGAAAATGTTGAAGGGCCATGGAAATGGGAATTATTCTGAAGATTTTATTTGGATACTAGGGAGAGTTTGGAAGTATATTAAGATTTTATTAAGTATTGTGTAAACACAACAAAACAAAAACCTTAATATCTGTGTCTTTCAGCCACCATGAAGAAGGGGACCTGAGCCCAACAGGTGCCATTTCCATTGGCATTTACCATCCTGATTACCAAATTTATAAGAGGAGGACATGCAGCTGTGCACATATGCTATCTTTAGTAGCTTGAACAGGACCCAAGCTTGCTTTGCCCTGGTGCATTTCCTTAGCATCTTACTTCACAGAGGCCTTCAGAACAGTCTTATAGATTGCACTGTCCTTGAAAGAATGCAGTATCCTCAGACAATGTAAATGCCACAAAAACTATTTTAAACTCCACTTACTTTAGTCCTGTCTGCCAGGAGATAAATAATGTGAGGACTAGGTTTTACCAAGAAGGTAGTGCAAATCAATTTCTGTGCTTAAGCAGTACAGAAGGAGAGTTGGAGAGGTTGTTTGGTTTTATAATTCAAGACTCTAAAACACATCCTCTTTTACTCTCTGTCTTGCCAAAACTCTGGTTCTCAAACAATATTGTGCTTTAGAATCACCTGCAGGGCTCCGTATAGCACAAATGGCTATCAGTTCTCATTCAGGGATGGGACCCAAAAACGTGCCTGTCTGTTGTTTCCAGGTGATGCTAATGCTGCTGGTCTAGGATCACACTTTGAGAAATGCTGGCCCTTATTTCTATTCCTTAGTCTCTCCAGGTCTTGATCTGTTAAGGCTATTATCTCAATTATATGAGTTGCAAGGTACAAATAAGAAGTTTCAATAATTGCTAAAGTTGTAAATGATGGAATATGTGAATAAAAGATCATCAAATTTTAAATCTGTACTCAGCAGCAACGAAGATCCCTTTATCAATTTTCATAATGACTTTGTTAACTATCAAAACTGAGTTTTTTAGAACTAGCTTATCATATAAACAGATTTTTCACATTCCAAGAGTAACTTTAAATTGAGTGTTTTTAGGGAGACTGGGGGTTGAACCCTCCAATAGCAATTTTAACATTTTATTTGTTACTACTTTGATGTCAAAAGCATGTGTGAACTTTAAAATATACCTATGTACATTTTAGTATCGATCCTAACTAAAAAAAATCCAAACAAATCTTTGATTCAATCAAAACTCATTCCCTTTTATTTATTACATTTATTATTATTGCTAAGGAAGACATAGTTAAGCTCATATTTTGGGTACTGGCTACCTTCTCACTTTGCCCAATGGACCATGATAGAACCAGCATCTTTAGTTTGCAGTTGCTTTGTCAGCAGTGGAAATGGATTAGATCCACATCTTGTCTCTTGCTCCTTTTGGTGACCCACAGCAGGAGAATTTTACATGATAGTTGACTGGAATCTGTATATGTTCTGGGCCACAGGTCAAAACTAATTTATAAATTACTGAGCTCTTCATCTTGGATGCTTTTTCCTTCTGTAAAATAAACTTAAAAGACCTTTACACAGTGTAAGACACTATAACTCTACACACTATTCTATTTATGGAGCTTTATAAAGTGTCAGATAAGACGGTTGTCTAAAAGATCCTGCTAAATAAATATATACTATTGCATGATATATAATCATCAGGATTATTTCTCTTGAGGGTGCAAAGAATAAATTGAACCAATTGCAAATCTAGGAAAGAAATACTCAGAAGGATCAATATACTTCAGAATAGCAGTGGCTTTGTAGAAGCCCCAAAATCTCTTTGTCCATTTTCTAGTATGTTAGAGATTTGTGCTTATATAATTGACATTAAGCAAAAATATTTATTTATTTATTAGTGGGACTGGGGTTGAACTCAGGGGTTTTGAGCTTGCAAAGCAGGCACTCTGCCAATTGAAACACACCTCCAGTCCATTATGCTCTGGTTATTTTGGTGATAAGATCTCAGGAACTATTTACCTAGGCTGCTCTTGAGCAGCAATCCTCCTGATCTTAGCCTCCCAAGTAGCTAGCATTATAGGTGTGAGCCATAGGTGTCTGGCACAAAAATCTTTCAGAAAAAGGTTTGGTATAGTATCCTGAGAATATTAGAGTGGGAGATGTTTATTAAATAGCTACCAAGTGTTTCTTTGATGATGTGTCCTCACAGTCACCCATCTAGGTAGGTACCAGTTTGGGTTTCACCAAAAGAAGACTGTGAGACAAGTATTCAAATACAGGAATTTGTTTGGGAGGTAAAATTAGTACTAATAAGAAGTATGATTGGAAGGGAAAATTGTTCCCAACAAGCTCACACTGTGGGCAACTGGAGCCTGTAATATAGAACACAGAGTAGAAGTACTCCCGCTAGAGGAGAGAGGTTTTGGGGGTAATTTATACATCACCTCTCTTAAGTTTGCAGTTCAGGGCTATTGCATAGGATGTTAATTCTATGACACTTGGCATGCCATATGGAGTGGAAAGCAGGCTCCAAGTTCAAGAGAAAGTTCTCACAGAGGTGTAAGCAGCTAAAATCCAGCTGTTGAATAGCAGGTGGAAGTTGAAGCTTCTGGATTGAAACCCAGGCCTGGCTGATATCAAAGCCATTGATTTCTCAACCATATCACACTCATTCAAATCTTCCCCAAGTATTCCATGATTGGATGAAATTGTAGCTGAGATCACAAAGTCTTCTGGAAGTGACAACTTTTCTTTATCCTCCCTAGAGCAAAGTAAGACTTCTTATGCATTAACAATAATTTGGCTGAAATGCTCTATGTTAAAGCCAAATGTTTATGATCAGCTGAACTTCACATTGTGAGGAAGCCCTGTATTTACTGGATAACTTGTTCATTCCATAAACTGTTTTTCATATTTTATCTACCTCATCCAAATGTGGAAGGAAAAAAATGAATGGACAGTCCATTCTGGACACCAAGCAATGAGCAAAGGTGCAAACTATATGGAAGAATCAGACTTAGATAGAACCTAACCAAGATTGGCTTTATTTAAGTACTCTGTAAGTACTTAATGTTTGACTTATTTGCTTGCTCTTCAATATGACAGACCCAAAAGAACTCCTACTATCTTCCACCAACTTCGTGTGGCATAGGTATTCTTCCGTGGAGAGTCTGCAAATGAAATTTCAAAGTCTAAGAATATAATGTTTACTCACTTGATGCAAACAACAGATAACTAAATAAGACCTTTGGTAAATGACTATTAATAATTGACTAATAACGGAATTGTCAAGGCACAGAAGGCAATCCATGAAAAAATCCCAGCCACATCTAAGGTTGTGATAACCTGTGAAAATGTTTCCACGGCTAGTTTGTATTAATGATTATGAAGAACATGCTAAATCAGTACTTCAGAAGTCTGTATATGACTATTATAGGTCTGGGGCAAATGATCAGGAAACTTTGGCTGATAATATTACAGCATTTTCCAGGTAAGAAAATTTGTTATTTAAAATTGTTTTAATATTATACAAAGACATTGCATCAAAATAAGATCTAACTTTATGTTGGTGGTATGGAATTGTCTGGATTTGTGCTGAATAAAAAGGAGGAAATTTCCTGGAGCTGTTTAAAACTTGTTTAAAATATTCCATGCCTGAAAATCTTGAACAATTGATTGTAATCACCAAACCTCCATTTCCTCACTTGGAAGCATGAGGATAAATAGTTTAACAACATTTAAAAGTAGTCATAAATTGTGGGAACTCCATTTTCTTTTTCTTGGAGTGTGATAGTGAGTGATTATAACCATGGTGTAAGAAACAGCCTTAAATGCAAGAGAGCCATCCTATCTGGTTGAACCAGAAAGGATTATTGCCTCAAATATTCCCATCCTGCTGGCTTCCTGCATTATTATCATTTTGATTACTGTTGTCTAAACTGTCACTTTAGATTTCAATTTGTCTATGTGGCATTAATCTTTCAACCTTGCTGTTTCATCTCTCCTACATAGTGATTCATCTCTCTTCCCAAATTAATTTTCCCTTGACTTTCATATTTAAAGGCACAAGATGGTGGTATCATGGTTTATGTTTTCTATTTGTAATAAAAACATAAAATAAAAACATAACTTTAAAGGGGTGTTTTTCTCTCACCAGATATAAAAATGGCTTATGTGATTGATTAAGGGAGGGCAGCTTTCAATATACTGCACTCTTTCAGTGTGATCCATCATTCATAATAGCCCTTCATGAAGGCAATGAATATTATAGGCATTCATTGATGATAATAAATTAAAGGTGGAAAAAGGGAGAAAGATTCCAGGAAGAATTTGCTTTCCTTTTGATTTCTTTTTTAATCTAGAGCAAAGTCACTCAATCACTTTTCAATATGTAAATCAGGAGAAATGAAATCCATTTAAACAGGGTGGTTCTTGACAAGCAGCATTGGTTTACCCAGAAGTCAGCGGAGGACACTGAGAATGGGGTGAAGGGTGGGGCTTCTCCCCAACCCCTGCAGCCCTTGATTCAGGTTTTCCCTGAAACCCAACTCAACTCAACAAATGCTGAGACAGTCATGGAAAGGAAAGTTGATTAAGAATGGATGGGCTTAAAATTTGGCACAATCTTTCCCAGTCATTGTTTCATACTTTGGGGATTTTCAATATTTTCTACTCTTGGAAGATGCCTCTTTTAACAGGATCATGCTAGTTCTACTTACCATGTAATATGGTTTGTATATGAGTGGTCTTCTGAAGACCACACCTTAGCTCAAATAAGTCAATAATTGTGGAAATTTTGAGCCCTTGACAGACATACAGATTTGGTGTCTCAGCATTGCTTCAGTTGATCACAGATTCTGTCTCTATATAGCCTTCCTTAGTCCTTAAACACTGTATTGCTAGATAATTAGCTAATTTATGCTTATAGCAGTCTTTATGGACTGGACTCTACTACATGCTGGGACAGAACAATGAGACAGAGAGACAATTCCCATCAACAGGAATTTACATTTCCATACATGAGGACATAATATTTCCATTGCATTCACCCTCCTACACCCATTTGAATGGGAGGGGAATGATGGAGGAAGTAAATTCAACTATGATACATTGTAAGAACTTTTGTAAATGTTACAATGTACCCCCAGAAAATGATGTGATAATAAAAAAGTTAACCCAACTGAAAAAGAAATAGGAGCTCACACTGCACTGGATGCATACTGACTTTGGCCTCCATAATTCTGTTGGGTTGAAGTGATGTAAATGGATCAAAACAGCTGGCCCAGAGGAAGTCTCAGGGAGGGAGCAAAGGGTTACAGCAAAGCAGATGAACCACCTCTTCAACCCTAGAGATTTTAGAAGCTTTATGAGGTAGAAGCTTGGTGACTTCCAAGTTGTGATCTGGAAAAGTGTCATGTGGCCTATGTGAATTACACGGCACTCCAGTGAGTATTATCATCCTATCAGAGTACTGAGTAATTGAGGGACTTGACACAGACAATGGAAATGAGTTTGCAATACCACTTTTTCCATGAACCACGATCATTTTTTTGTTCAGCTTTAAAGAGAAAAAAATGTATTAATTAACTTTCTTGGAAGGATAGTTGATGCTCTTTTACTATTAAGTAGTTGAGTTTGTATTGCAAAAAATATTAGGAGTGGTTATCTATCTAACATCTAAATTCTGTTTTTGCTGTGTGACTTGCTGGGTGACCATTGTTTCCTTGCCTTGTGCCATGTGGAACCAGGATTTTCTGCCAGGGCTGCAGTGGCTTTGGCTTGATATCAGAGGAAATCACCCTGAAATTTCCAATTCTGATTCAAATAAAGGCTGCAAAACTACCAAACCTCAGACAACCCATTGTGACATAAGGTTAGGGTATTTCAAGAACATTTATGAAATTTATATACCTCCCCCTCCCACAAGGACAACAAAAAGTCATTCTCATTGACAGCTTTTATCTCTCTGTACTCCGATCTATTCACCACATTTTGAAGTTCTGGGCACATAGACCAACCATGTGACCCAGCAGTTGCTTGGAGACATTGCTGGGTAAGACTTTGGACTCTAATAATATTATGACCAAGGAGAATTACAAAAGGACAAATAAATAGAGCCACCCAGAATAATGAAATTTCCTATTACAAATATGACAAGAACAGGGCAAATATCAGCTTGGTACATTTTGCATGGCATGACCTGATTGGGGTTAATGTGAAAAAAGAATAACACATCTTACACACTAACTCCTCATCCATGGGCTACACATATTTTGTGGCTTTTTCTGAAATTATTATTGACAGAAAATAATTCCACAATTTGGTTATTTAGGAGCCCTCCTGACTCAGAAATGGAAGCTCTTCTTTTTCCTGCTATGACACCCATTGACACTTACAGTTGTGTGGTTTTCTTTCAGATAACTAATGAGAAAAAGTGATAATCTCTTCACTTAATATTTGAGAATCTATATAAAATGACCAGTGGAATTTCCAGTGTTCTTCTCATAGACAGAAATGTAACAAAATCTATTAGCCAATATCCAAAATAGGTGGTTAAATGCATTTTGTGTCATTTGTTTTAAATGTTTATGGTAAAAAGTTAAGGAAAAGGAACAAGAATGCAATGGATTTACAAACATGAATTCAGTGTGTAGAGTTGGTGTGATCAGTAAGCAGACAGCTTCAATGCTGGTGATTTCTGGATGTCTTCAAAGAGTAGCCACTTCTTGGGGAATGTGTACAACTCCTGATTTTTTATTTTGATAAGTTAAATTTGTGACCCTTGTTGAATATAAAGTGTGGACTAAAAGTCCTGTTACAGCATTCCCGTCTTTATCCATTTCCTTTGCTTACACTTATTATTTACTATCTTTTGTAAAAGGTTTATTATTTATTTGTTTCAACTGTTTTTCCATCTTCATAGCCTTTTTCTAAAGTGGAGACCCATTAGAGCATAGTGTAAGTTGATAATGAGGCACTTATTGTTGATTGATTGTAGGATAGTCACTTAAATCTGGGGTAGAGTCTGGTGGAGTTTGGAAATTAGAACTACCAGGCAAATTTATTGTCCTTGTGCTTTGGAAAATATCTAAAGATGGCTGTCTCTTTAGGGGACGTACATTTCTCCATTCTATTCACTTTATTTAATTATGTGCAGGAATTGCATTTTATACACTAGTTAACTAAATCTGTCATATCCTCAGAATAGAAAATAGTATTTATGGGGAAGAAAGAGTACACATTTATTAAGGTGACTGCACCACCAAGTGGACAAGTGTAAAGCTGCTGTCTGGGAGGTAGTCTGAGCTTTATAAATGGGGATATGACATTTTAAAATGTCCCTTACACACACACACACACAGAGCTGATGCTCTGCAGCTTTGTGTGTTCTCTCCATAAAAGCTTTCATTGTTCTTCTAGCCCTAAGTAAATATTAATGCCTTCCAAGGTTGCCGTGCCAGTGGCTGCTATTAAAATCTTTTTCGCTTATTCTAATAACACACTTAGAGATGATTGGTAATAAAAACTCTTTTCAAGGCTTCTGCCTCTCCCCCTTCAAAATGGAGATCAAAGCATCCTGCCATGAGGGTCAGTGGAGAAGAAAAGACTTCTAGCCACAGAGCATGTGTGTGACATAAAATAATGACAATTATGATGTTCAAAGTAATAGCATAGGAATCACACAGTAAAACTGCTTTATTATACTTTTAGGAGACTGCATGTTTTTACTTTATTATGTGAGGAAGGGTTAGATTACAGACCCCTAGCTAGCCCACAAAGCAACGTTAAGTTAGATTTTCTTCCTCTAGTACAGGAAGTAGACTTCAATTAAGGACTTTTTTCTTGGTTGCTCCATTATTAAGTCACACTTCCCTATATTTGCTAAAAAAAATCTCAATCCCTCTGGAAGTAGAGTTAAATATAGGAAGTGAAATGTTCGAGCTGGTTAGATATGTACGTGTGTCTACTCAATGCACTCAGATTAATGCTCATTAGAAATAAGATTGCATTTTCTTCAGTTTTAATCAGTTAGTAATATGGAAAATAATGAACCCCAATAAGTAGGAACTATAATATTTTTGCTGTAAGGAAAGAGAACTTCTCCTGTAAGCTTTATTTCTGAATTTTTGGTTGTTGGCATATTGGGAATTTCCACTCCAACACAGAAGAATTATAGATTCATGTAAAACCATATTGAGTAGCCAAAATCTCTTTAAACCAAAAATTCCAGTTTCTGTTAAATAGCATTTTTAAGGAAAATGTTTAACTAAGCTAAGAAAAAAAAGAAAAAAATTCTTCCCTCATCTCATACTTTATTGTACATGGCATAAATTCTTGACCCATGCAATGGCATGGAAGAATATTTATATCAAATGCATTATATCAAGTGAAAGAAGCCAGACTCAAAGGCTATGTACTATATATGATTCCATTACATGATATTCTTGCCAAGAAAAATTATGTGGGTAAAAATACCAACAGATCAATGGTTGTTGGGGGATTGAGGTGGGGAGAGAGTTTCACTACAAAAGGAAATGGGGTAATTTGGAGGGATGATTGAATTGTTCTAGATCTTGATTATCTTGACCATTACACCACTATGTTCATTGTCTCAACCGACAAAACTGTAGACCAACATGGAAATATTCTGCTGTATGCTAATTGCCTTCAGTGAAAATTGCTTGGGAAATTCATTATCACCTTTTTGCTGTTAGATTTTTAAATTTTTAACTGATAGATAAAAGTAAAAGTTGTAGACATTAATGGGGTACTATGTAATGTTCAATGCATGTGTTCATTGTCATCTTATGGTTAATTTTCCTCCCTAGAAACATTAACATTGCCTCTTTATAAAGTAATTTTATTGATTGAAAAAAAATCAAATACTACTTTCTCTTTTTAACTAAAATGTGATGCCAAAGCTTTGTTTACACTTTTGATATTCTAAAACTTTTTAAATTATTATTCTAGATGGAAGCTCTATCCACGGGTGCTGCGGAATGTTGCTGAAATTGACCTGTCAACTTCTGTTTTAGGACAGAGGGTCAGCATGCCAATATGTGCTGGGGCCACCGCCATGCAGTGCATGGCTCATGTGGATGGGGAGCTTGCAACTGTGAGAGGTAGGAAGAGAGTCCTCGGCAAGGGACAGAAGGGAGCTAACAGCTCGCAACTCCTACCTCTGTGTGCATCAAACGCTTCCCTAGATATTGTTGCATTCAGAAAAATTAAATTCATTGGTTCTCCCATCAAAATACTTGTTCTCACACATCCTGCTCTTCTACTTTCTAGTTGAGCATCTCAGGGCTAGATACTATTTCCGTGCCTTGGTCTTCTTCACGTGTAAAATGGGGACAAAAATAGAACCTGTCACATCTAGTGAGGATTGCATAAGTTCACATACATAATGTGCCTGGCACAGAGTAGTGGCTCAATGAATGTTAGTTGTGTTATGAGTATAAATATCAATATCTCAGAAAATAGAAGTCTAAGAAATGGCTCGCCCAACGTCATAACTCAGTAGTGGTAGAGGTGGGACTCAAACACGTGCCTACTTTATTTCAAAGACCTCTTGCTTCCCAACAGAACATTTTCAACTGCCTTAGGAGAGAGTGAAGAGACAGTCAAAGATGTTGTAAAGAAATATTTTATTATGGTTAATTTATTAGCTTACTAGTTTCCTAGCAATGCAAACATTTGAAAGTCTGATAGATCTCTATAAATTCTGCGTTAGAAATTCATATAAAATTTGGCAATGAATACTACCTGATTGATATCTTTTGATGCTAAGCAGGGCAGGGAATGAAGGCTAAAGGAGCATGAACTAAATACTGTTTTAAAGTATTATAGGTCTAAGAATTAAGGATTTTATGGATTTAAATTCCTACTTGAAATGTTTGCCACAAATTTCTGCCAAAGACATCGGAATGCCACAGTGAGATTGTGCTGACAAACTTTGGGTCAAGGCTGGCAATTTCTTTAATTCTAGGATCACATGTAGGTAGTGGTTTGGGAACTCCAGGAATTTGTTCATGGTATTCCTAAACAAAGGCAAAGAGATTTCTTGCTGTCCTTGGTATTCCTAAACAAAGAACCAAAAAAAAAAAGAAAGACAGAAATAGTAAACAGGCATATATCTAAAGTTGGGATAAGATGTCTTAGTCAACCAATGAAAGAGAAGTGTTCTAAAGCTCTATACAAATGGAAAGCAAATGCAAAATGAAAAAAAAAGCATGAGTCTGCAAAGGGTTAATGTCTGTTCTACATAAACAGCTCCACAAATGGAGACATAAAATAACCAATAAACTGATAGGAAATATTGATTTCACTAATAAACAAAGAAGTGCAAATCATAACTGTATTCTTTGTTTTTTAAATATAGAATTACTATTTTAACATTATACAATGGGATGAGGTTGGGGTTGGGGAAAATGTTTATTTTCAAACACTGATGGGAAGAGTGTACAGTGGAATGTTCTTTCTCATGAGTTTGGTTCTGAATATCAAAACTGTAAAAATGTGAATTCCATGTGATGCAATAAATAAACTACTAGGAATCCCTAGGAAATGATTGCTATTGTAAGGAAGAATATTTCTGCAAGAATTTTTTGTCTGTTGTTTTTAGTAAGCAAAACCATGAAAAAAGTATTCCATAATTGCAGATAGGTTGCAAAAAATATATAGTAAATTTAAAATGATACAAAAGGAGTGTAATGGCCTAGAAAGCTGTTCTAATTTAATTATTTTTCTTTTCTTTCTTTTTTTTTTTTTGACACAGGGTTTTACTAGATAGCCCAGAGACTTGAACTTACAATCTTCCTGCCTCAGCCTCCCAAGTCATGTGATTACAAGTCTGTACACCCTATGCCTGACCATGATGTAATATCTTTAGAAAACAATTACAATTATTAGGTTCTAAATATGTTCAATGATACAAATGTTTATTTAGGAGTGATGAGATTACTACTGATTTTTGGTTTGTGCTTATAAACTATTCTTTGTATTTGTTTGTAAGAAGGAAACAAAAAAAATAGATTTAAAAAAGGAGAGAAACAGAAAACCATGAGAAGAATGGGAATGAAGGTAAGGAAAAAGAGAAACCAATAAACTAGAGCTTACTTGGTAAGCTACCTTGGAGCCAGAAAATTATTTTTACACATATTCCTTTACTGGATACTGACAAGTGTCACTATCCCTTTTTGTGGTCAAATAACTAGCGTTCCAGAGAAAGCAGGATTTCATAGCTTAGTAAATGGCAGGTTTTTGTTGTTATTGTTATGCTGGGTGGTGGTACATTGTGGCATTTACAAAAGTTCTTATAAATACATCAAATATATTACACTTGAATTCACCCCTCCATCATTCTCCTTTATCCCCTCTTCCCCCATTCCTGGATAGTTTCAACAAGTATCATTTTTTTTTCCACAGTAGTAGCACCATATTCACCCTCTCACACCCTTTCCCCACCTCCTCCCCCTCCCACTAGTATTAGCCCCTACTCCCCAGGAAGAACCTGTTCCTCCCTCCTGTTCTCCAATTATGCAAAAGAAAGAAATAAAAGACATTTTTGCTTGTTTAAGGTAGCTACATAGGGAGTTTCCTTGTGGCATTTCTATGTACATTTGTATTATAGCCAGATTTAGTTTATCTCCTCTATTTTTCTTCTTTCTACCTTAGTCCCTTTCTTATGGTTGTTTCAACCAGTTTAAAATTTCTATGTTCATTCTTGTACATCAACCATATTCACTTTAACTTCCTTTTTTTACCCTCCCCCTCTCATATGTGACCTTTCCTTATGTGACCTGTTTTTCATGATATTGATTGTATTTGTATTACGTCTATATTCCACATATAAGAGAAAACATGCAGCTTTTGGCCTTCTGAATCTGGCTAGCTTCACTTAAGATGATACTCCCCAGTTCCATCCATTTACCTGCAAATAACAAAATTTCAATCTTCTTTGTGATGGAATAAATAAAATTCCATTGTATATAAGTACCACATTTTCTTAATCCATTCATCAGTAGTGGGGCATCTTATTTCCATAGCTTGGCTATTGTGATGAAAGCTACAATAAACATGGGTGTGCAGATGCCTTTGTTGTAACCCAACTTACATTCCTTTGGTATATTCGTAAGAGTAGAATTACTAGATTGTGTGGAAATTCTATTTTTAGTGTTTTGAGGAGACTCCATACTTTTTTCCATACTGGTTATACTAGTTTACATTCCCACCAGCAGTGTATGAGGGTTCCTTTTTCCCCACATCTTCACCAACATTTGTTGTTGTTTTTGTTCTTGATGGTAGCCATTCTAACAGGAGTGAGGTGGAATCTTAATGTGATTTTGATTTGCATTTCCTTTATGGTCAGGGATGTTGAGCATTTCTTTATTGTTTTTTGGCCATTTCAACTTCTTCTTTGAAAAGGCTCTGTTCAGTTCTTTCTCCCATTTCTTCATTGGGTCATTGAATTTGAGAGTTTAGTTTTTTGAGCCTCCTTTTTTTTCTGGTTGTCAAACACTTGTTGGATGTATAGCTGGCAAAGATTTTATTCCATTCTGTGGGCAGTCTCTTCAATTTAGAGACCATTTCTTTTATTGTACAGAAGCTTTTTAATTTTACATAGTCCCATTTGTCAACCCTTTCTCTTAGTTGCTGAGCCATTTGAATTCTATTGAGGAAGTTGTTGCCTATGCCTATTAATTCCACTATATTCTCTGCTCTTTCCTGCACTAGCTTCAAAGTTTTAGGTCTTATATTAAGGTCTTTAATTCACTTTGAATTAATGCTTGTACAGGGTGAAAGACATGGATCTAGGTTCAGTTTTCTTCATGCAGATATCTAGTTTTCCCATCAACATTTGTTGAAAGAGGCTGTCTGTTTGCTATCATGTTTTTGGCATCTTTGTCAAAAATCAGGTGGCATAGCTTCATGGATTCATATCTGGGTCTCCTATTCTGTTCCACTGGTCTTCATGTCTGTTTTTATGAATGGCAAGGTTTTATCTCCAAATTACTTCTAATGGTTCCAAGGTGAGTGCTCCTTATTTTTGGTGAAGATATGCTGGGAATAAAGATGAGAAGAAAGCTTATTAAGAAGCTGTGACTTCATAGCCCAGGCAGGACTATTTTATTCAACATTATTTTCCCAGTGCTAATGATAAGAGGATAATAAATGCCCATTAGAGTCTTATTCCTTTAGATTTATTTAGCAAACACATATAAAGCAATTACCTATCATACTCCAGGCACTAGTCTAAGCATAAATTACAAGTATTAAAGCCAATGATATACAGCAGTTAGTATATAAATACACTGACTCTCTTTGATCAGGGTTTTTGACCAGTATCCCTGAAATGTTTGCTAATACTGTCACCCAGTAAGATTGAGTCTCAATTTTCCACAAAAGTTAACCTGCCCACTAACATGCTTTTGTTTGTTACAATTCACTTTCTTTCAACTCACCTTGGGATCATTCCCAGCCAAAACTACTAGAGCGCAAATCTCCCTTTCATGGTTGGTCTTTACAAACCAAGATAAAACTAATTGAAGACGATAGATAGCCATAGACAAATTTGAGTAGGACTGTGAAAATATTCATATTTTTTAGAGATCACTACCCACTTTTGATACTCAGAAAATCATCATGGAATGATGAAGTTATTTATTATTTGACTTGCTTCATCATTCCCAGAAATCTTTCCAAGTAAGCCTGATCCTTGGGAATATTGTGAAATCTATAGAAATTAATATGGAGGATTTTATTTTTGGCCACCCTCCTAGTTATCCCTAAGTTTCCTAATGAGGAAGAGGGCATTTGGAACCACAGGGATGGTCTGGCTTGAATAATTAGCATGCACTTCCAAAAAGTTCTGAATGTTGCCAGGGCTCAGATTCCCAATGGGCTGTCCAGACTTCCTCAGCGAGTCTGATATCAAGGGCCCTTCAGCCTTTCCTCTCACCACTGTGGACCATAACCTGGGTATGAATGGGGTCCAAGGCTAGAACTCTAGAACTATACTTTTTTTTTGTAAATTTTCAAAATGGTGATGAATATAGGGTTGTCAGATAAAATACAGTGAGCCAAATTATTTCCCACTCAGTTTCCTCCATGTTTGCCCAAT